TAGTCTAGCCACACTGGCTCTTTTCTTTTCCTTCCTCAACAACAACAGAAGTCAGGCCTGCGCACCTGCTGCACTGGCGGTGCCTGGAACACCTCTAAGTCGACAGAACTGGTTCTTGCTTTTCATTCTCGCCTCCTCCCCAAACCACCCAAGCTTGCCCTGCCTAGAACGGCAGTTAGCTTTTCTGGATCATGGCCTCCTATTTTATGTTCTTCAAACCACTATCATTCTGGGTGTTTCCACGCACGGATTGTCTGTTTGTGCTGCTAGCCTATGTCATTGCTGTATAAGCTCCACTAAAGCCAGACTGTCTGTGTTGTTCACAGCTGACTTCCCAGGACTTAGAACAATGCCTGGCTCTTAGTGGGCACTCAAGAAATATATATATATTTTGACTGTTAAAACTGATGTCATAACTTAACTCTGGTGCCGTGTCACATATAGAAATTTTTTGATATTTGCAACCATAGTAAAACAAAGATTTATATTTTTGATATTTATTTTATACATTTAAATGCCATTTAACAAAGAAAAATCAACCAAAAAAATGAGTTCATGTGTCACCTATGACATGTGTGTCATAGGTTCGCCATTACTGACTTAGAGTAATGCCTGGCTCTTAGTGGGCACTCAAGAAATATATATATATTCGACTGTTAAAACTGATGTCGTCACAACATGAGGAACTGTATTTAAAGGGCCAGAAAGTTGAGAACCACTGATCCCTTCATCTTCTTTAACCCAGTCACCCCCGCCCCCCACACCTCCCCTTGGGCATAGGCCAGTCTGACCCATGTATCCATGCTTCTGGTTCTCATTTTGTTCGCCAGTTTATTTTGTTACTTAGATTCCACATACTAGTGAAATCATGTGGTATTTATCTTTTTCTGACTGGCTTATTTCAAAGAAATATTTTTCAAATGAAAAAAATACTCCAATATTTATTGAGCTTTTAGCTTCTACTCTATGAGACCTCTAAATTATAGTGCTTATGGCACGTAAAGATTGCACTGCATAACAGCCATCAAGTATTTATAGTTTTATGTCTTATGCTGTTAGTTATTATTTCATTCACATCCAGCTTCAACGTGTGTGGGCGTGTGCGTGCGTGTGTGTGTGTGTGTGTGTGTGTGTGTGTGTGATCACTGATCCACAGGAACTAGCCCTGGCTCTCCGGCTGGAGCGTGGGTCAGTGGACGTCTGCACTTCCCAGCTCACCCAGCAGAGACTGTTGAGTCAGAGGAGGGAGGCGATGGGGCTGCACCTTTTCCTGCTTTGCTGAGCCCTCCCCCTCAGAAAATATCCGAGTCCAGAATCAAGGCTTCCAGGTTTTCCCATGTCTCCTGGCAGCTCAGCTGGGGGGTTTCTCCAGCCCAAGGCCCGAGCCCAGGGGCACTTTCAGGAGGTCCCAGGCTTGCGGCCCGCCCGGCAGGACATAACCGGAAGTCACAGTGTGACAGCAAATGACCCCTCTGGGGACCCCCCTGGAACGCTGAGAGCACGTGCACTGGGAGATCTGCGGGCAGAAGGCTGTGTGGCAACATAGTTTGGAACACATTTCCTTGAATTTTAATGTTTTTAGAGATCTTTGGAAACTGTCCCCAGAAAGGGGGAGAATTATAGTGCTTATGGCACGAAAAGATTGCACTGCGTAATAGCCATTAAGTAGATGGTAAATTCCTCTGATGGCAGCTCAGCCGGGGGGTTTCTCCAGCCCAAGGCCCGAGCCCAGGGGCACTTCCAGGAGGTCCCAGGCTCACGGCCCGCCCGGCAGGACATAACCGGAAGTCAGTGTGACAGCAAATGACCCCTCTGGGGACCCCCCTGGAACGCTGAGAGCACGTGCACTGGGAGATCTGCGGGCAGAAGGCTGTGTGGCAACATAGTTTGGAACACATTTCCTTGAATTTTAATGTTTGAAGAGATCTTTGGAAACTGTCCCCTGAAAGGGGGAGAATTCCTCTGGTAAGGTTGCAGGCTGCATCACTCCATATTAAATTATATACATATTTTATGGGTGGGCCATAAATTGCCTTCAAACTGTCTTGCCACCAACACCAAAACATTATTCAGTTTCAAGATGTGAATGAATGACCATCTAGCATTTCTCTCTCTGATACATGAGCTCATTAAGCAAGCACAGTGCATTCGGAGAAGAATAACAAACTCATTACAACAAATTTCTAAAACAGGACAATATTTTGAGTTTTTAAGGTCACTATTCCTTTTCTTCTCCTTCTACAATAGTCCTAGGAGAAAAATCTTGCATTAAAAAACCGTTAAGTAACCCTAGCAGGTTTGGCTCAGTGGATAGAGCGTTGGCCTGCGGACTGAAGGGTCCCAGGTTTGATTCCAGTCAAGGGCACATACCCGGGTTGCAGGCTCGATTCCCAGAAGGGGGCATGCAGGAGGCAGCCGATCAATGATTCTCTCTCATTATTGATGTTTCTATCTCGCTCTCCTTCTCCCTTCCTCTCTACAATCAATAAAAATATATTTTTAAAAAAATCTTTAAGTAGGACATATTCTAATTATTGGAGCACCCCCCGGCCCTTTTTTGTTAATTATGAATGACAGTAGGTAGGTGGTCCAGACAAAAGGTGGAGAAATAAAAACGACAGGAAAAGCACTTACATGTCATCTGTGAACGTGATTCCAAAGTACTCCTTCTCTTTCAGGTTGAAATGCGAAGCCACGAGGTCCAGCAGCTCTCGTGCTAGCAGCTTGGGCTGTCAGTACAAAGATCTGATCAGAAACACTGCTTGCCTCTCTCTTATTGCTACCTCCTTCCTCTACCCCAATAGTTTAGAACAGCTTTTGTTCGCTCTTAAATATCTGCCTTCTCCCCAGCCGGGGGCGCGCACAGGTCAGTCTACTGCAGACCATCCTCTAAGAGACAGGGAAGGAGAGGAAGTGGGAAGAGGAACCTCAGTGAGACCATCATTCTCATATATTTCAATTCCTTACTTCTTCCCTCTGAGGCAGGGGTGGGGAACCTTTTTTTTCCCTGCCAAGTCCATTTGGACATTCATAACATCATTCGCGGGCCATGCACAATTATCAACTTAGAAAGTAGCCTGCTCTATTTAGTCAAACATTTAATTAACTCACCCCTAATGCCTTGGCAGGGCCAGACCAAATGAGTTCCTGAGCCTTAGCCATCGCTGCTCTAAGGTAAAACTGTGTTTACTAAAGCCTTGGTGTTTTTGAAAAACACTCTTTGATATGTAGTACGGTGCTAGAGACCAGGACGGGGGTATTAAACCCCTCACTGTCTGCTTGTAGGGGTAACTTGGCTTGGTGGATTAGGTGAAAAGATCAAGACCCAGGTTGTGGGGGCGTCAGAGATCGAGTTAAAAAGAACAACAACAATAACAATCATTCACTGTGCCACACTCCGTACATCTGTGATCGCATTCCGTCCCTGCGAGGAGCCGGTGAGGTATGGGTCCTTCTTTTCCACCTTCTGGGTGGGTCAGCCACGCCAGGAGAAGGTCAGACCTTGCTTGGTGTTCCAGTCAGGAAGCGTGGGGACCTGAACCCAGTTCGCTGCTTACAAAGCCCTAACTTTCCCTCTCTCTCCAGGGATCATCGTGCCCTTGTAAGTGGGCATCGCTGGTGCTTACTGAGCACCTGGTGAGAGGAAGGAGCGAACCTGTGAGCTTTTAGGGAGCGCTGGACTTGGGGGGCGGGGCATGGTTTGGAATCAGCCAGAATGGCCGAGTGACTGTGGCGGCCGGATTTGCAGAGTTGGAGCGGAAAAGCGGATTTCGGGAGGGCACGCTAGGCGGTATCTGCCTTGACTTTGAGCCAAATAGTTTAGGGTTCATTATGATGGTTTGAGGGTTGAATGTTTGCTGTTGGGGAATAAAGAATAGTTATGATTAGAGAGGAAACAAGGAAAGAAGAAAAGTAAAGGAGAGAAGCCCCAGCTGGTGTGGCTCAGTGGATAGAGCGTTGGCCTGCAGGCTGAACGGTCCCAGGTTGATTCCAGTCAAGGGCACACGCCCGGGTTGTGCTCTGGATCCCAGCAGGGGGCGTGCAGGAGGCAGCCAATCAATGATTCTCTCTCATCATTGATGTTTCTATCTAGCTTTCCCTTGCCTTTCCTCTCTGAAATCAATAAAAAAAAATTTTTAAAAAAAAGAAAGAAGAGAAAAACAGGCAGAAATCTAGATTAAAATGTCTACTCTGGTGAAACTATTGTTGGCTGTACTATTTTCATTCTAATTGAGGCCTGTGCATAGCGGGCTAGGGAAAAGCCCCAGACGGGAGGAAAACGTGGGCTTGGTCAAAGGGAAGAATTCTAGCCAGAGCTGTAGGTGTGGCTGTCAGCAGGGACTGCTGACGTTTTTAAGACTCTTGGTCCAAAGTGTTGGGTAAATGAATGGAGAAGCATCAACAATTAATATGTCATCACTCACAAAATCCCACATATTTTACAAAGAGGTTTCATTGTCATATAGAATTTAGGTTGATTTTAATCTTAATTCTGTGAGGAAGCCTAGGCCACCTTAAGGCCAGTTCACAGTTTATGAAACTGGGTGTTTAAATTGGACAAGGTCATGTGACAGGACAGTGGTAGAATGCATAACCCTTTTCAGGGAAGCATTATGTTATCCAATTTACCAACAAGAGATTCAAAGAAGTCAAGTCACTTGCCCGGGGCCCACAGCTACTGAGCGTCAAGGCCGGACTGGAGCCCACGTATCTGAATATATGTCACCAACTTCCAGTCACATACAAACCAGGTCTTCTGACTTCAGAGCTTCTTTCCTCCACAATCAACCCTGCGTCACGGGCTTCGAGCACAGATGAGCCAGCCTGACACAGGCCACGCACTCACGGGGCCCAGACGTGCTGTCCTGTGCGGGCAACACCTACCTGCACCAGCAGCTCCAGCCGCCTGTCGTCCAGGAGGTGCACCTGGCAGTGCCTGCCCTCTGTCATCTGTGGGGAGAGACAGCACGAGTGGGGTCAGGCAGGGCGGGCAGGAAAGCCCCGGAGTGCGAGTGGTCACTTATTTCACATGTGACGCCTCAGCCTGAAAATGGCTTCACTTGAGGAAATCAACAGGCGTCAGGCACAGATTTATTACATGGCATCAGCACCTGGGTTTTTAAAAATTTAAATGTTTTTCATTCTTTGATTTAAAAGAAGAATGAAAAACAGATGACTCAATATAGTGGAAAAATAATGCCTAAATATGCACACAAGATTTTATTATGAGAAGTAGGTTTCCTTCCCAGAGGAAACGACTATATTTTTATTTAAGTCAATATTTCATTTTTCAAATGCAAATGGCTTTATTCATTGGTGTGCTTTAATACATATAATACATGCATAATTATAAGAAAAACATGATTCTAAAGTTTCAAATGGAAACCTTCCATTTTTGAAACTTCTGCCCCCTTTACAAGTCTCTGGCTGCTATAACTAAGAACAGGTAAGATACACAGTTAAGAACTGTTGTAAAAATTTCCAATTATATTTAATTTTTATCACTTAAAATTGCAATTCGGGGAAATCCTCTGTGAACTAGTCACCGATGCACAGAACGCAGAGATTCCCCTGGACTAGCGCCTGCTTCCCGCCACCGGACCTGCCAACGCGAGGAGAACCCTCGCAGACCGACTGTACATGGACTTTCAGACATGCCCAGGTACATATTTTTAAAAAAATCATATGAAGTGTTTTTCTTTAATGTTACATATGACACATTATTCTGAAAATAAAGCCAATACTCATAGTATTTGTGTTTGTATGTGTGTGGGTCTGTGGTGTGTGTGTGTATTTCCCCATTTTCAATTCAAATGCTATTTCTTGCAGATCTTTCCAATGTCAACATATATAGGCCAAGCTCATTCTTTTTAAAGGTTCTATGGTATCAGCTATTGTGCGCGCACAGTAACTCGTGATGAGAAACATGTTGTTCCCGCATTTCCTTAAGACAAGGACGCCACAGGGAACTCTGCACATGCAGCTTTGCCCACACGTGTGTGCTGGCTGGGCCATTTTGGAAGAGTGTGGGCAGCATTTGGTACACAACCCTGAGGTACACAGAACCTGGTTTAAGAGAAACCAGCTCCATCCCGGGGCGCCAGCTGTGTCCATAGCTTTCCTGGCGTTTCGCGTCCCCTCTGAGCTGCAAGCAGCGACCCCGGCCGGGATGGTGCTGTTTATCCCACTTCACACCTGAGGAAACGGGGCTCGGAGTGGGACCAGCAGCCTGTCTGCAATGTGAACACCACCAACAGCTGCTCCTGCGTTCCTGACTGAGCTCCGCTCTGAGTGGGAACGTAGCCCGCTGCAGACCGTGGCATTATGGAGATGGGGCCCGCAGCGGCGACTGGAGGCGTGCGAGGAGGTGACTGCGCCGGCCCTGACTCCGTCCTGAACTCTACAAAGCCAAGGCCAAACACACCCGTTTGGTGGCAAGAGGGAAGGGAACACATCTTTGTCCCAGGACTAAGCTGTGCACTGCATACATGTCACCTCACAAAGCTCCACAAGTCCATGCTGTGGCAATGTCCCATTTTACGGATAAGGAAACCGAGTTCAAGGTAATTTATTCAAAGTTACCTGGTCAAGAAAAGAGCCACGCCAAGATTTAAATTAAAGTCATCTTCTTTTCTACTTTAGCATGGGAGGAAATAAATAAATGTGTCAGTCATTTTATTTCTTTTATAAAACCCACATAAGGAAACCAACTTCATGGCCTATAGAAGGATGTAATGAAATAAAACTCAAAAGATCAACTCACACAGTATAAATCCATTAAGGAATATGTCAAAATATCTCACACCGCTCTGCTGTTGCATAGTCCAAATGAATTTCTGCCCTAATTTTACAAAGACATCTTTTCCTTTCCATTTTGCTTTGGACCTCTCTCAGACTGGCCACTGCCTTTTTGTCAAGACATAAACTTACCCTACAGAGCTGGATGGTAAATGCTTTGGCATGTCTGCCCATCTGAGGACAAGCACGGGCAGTGGTGGCCGTATCTGTACAATTTGGTCCTGCCTTTTGGCCTCCGTTGATTGGAGCAGGGATGCACACCTGACCCAAGCTGGACCAATCAGAACCTCAGTCCAGGGAACCTGGAATGAAGTCCGAGGAGGTGACAATGTGGCTGCCGTGTGCGGAGGACAAGCAGCTCATCAGCAGCAGGAGAAGTCACACAGCTGGAGAGGCCAGCGGGCGAGAACTGCCGACTGCATCCCTGACCCATGCCCGCACTTCCGGTCCCTTCCACTGGCCCAGGGGGAATGTTGTCCCTGGGCTCCATGAAGCACCCCTGTATTCCTCCCATAAGCCCACTTTTCCTCTCTCTCTTAAGCTGGCTTAAGTTGGATTCTGCTTCTTGCAACTGAAAGCCTCTTTATAAGATACCACAGGTGTCTACACCTAAACCAAGGCAAAGGTTTCCGAAGGATGGACTCCCGATGATGTCATTAATATGGTGAAGTTGTCAGTTCATAATGACTGACGCTCCCACCAATGACAATACAACAGCCAAGAGAAAGGCTGGCATTTCGGGGGGAGAGGATCTGAGCAAACATCTCGCTGTGCGATGTGGTGAGACACACACGCTGGAGAGGCAGTGCAGGTGACGGGGAGAAAGAGTGCTAGTTTGACCCCCGCCGCACGTCTGTCTGCACACCTGAGCGCAGTGTTCCCAGGCCCTTCCCTCTCTGGGAGGGAGGTCAGAGGGCAGTGTGGTCACCGCCAGCCACAGGAAGGCCTGCCCTTGTCACTAACCTGAAGGTGGAAAGGTGGTGGATGTAGTTTGTCACTAACCTGAAGGTGGAAAGGTGGTGGATGTACTTTGTTCATCAAGACAGTGCTTATGAATAACTTATAGTTGACAATACTGGAAATCAGGAGATGCCACTTAGTAAAGGTCCAGGTGGCAAGCTCTGGAGAGACGGCTGGATTTCCTCCTGGCAACATCTGGCCAGGGAGGGTCAGAGTGGCTCCCTCTCTAGATGAGTCTGTGGCCCGGGCTCACCCAACCTACTGCCTGCAGGTTCCCGGGAGTCCCGACCTGTGAACAAGCACATCTGGTTCAAGTCCATGTGGCACCAGGGAAGAGACACAGCCGCCGGCAAAGAGGGTGCATGCCCGGAGGAGTGCTTGGCCCTTGGCCCTCATCCCTGTGTAGCATTTCAGCCTCACAGAAGCCTGTGGAGGGGACAGCTCCTGCCAGTGACGAGGGAACCGAGGCCTGAGAAATCATGCAACTTGCACAGGAGTTCCAAGCCAGACTGGACTCAAAATCATGTTTCATCCCTTAGTAACTGTGGTACTTTGAGAAGCCTGTCTGAGCCTCAGAAGCAGGCTCCTGACCGCTTTCCATCGGACGCCCTGAGAATGCGATGAGCTACTTCTCAGGGCCACTTTTATTATAGTCTTTATTTGCTGGGGAACTCACAAACAGCTAACCCTTCCTGGAATCTATCTATTCTCCCATTAAGAAGAGCTTTTTAAAGGGAAGGCTGTTACTAGCCCATTTTAAAGAAGATAAATGACAGGTAATGCTAACCAGTCAGTTAGCAAGCATGCGGCAGAACCATTTCCCAGAGCCCAGGGGGCAGAAATAAAGACAGAGGGGGCGCTGGCTCCCGTGCGCCTCTGTGCCTGCCCCACCAGGCATTTTAGTAGCAACAGCCTCAATAGCAGGGACAGGCACGCTCTCTGTTTCAGGTGCCGCTGAGCCCCGAGCAGCAGCAGCACATCCAGTCCTCCTGCTGCTCGCATGAGGCAGGCAGTCAGTGCCAGTGATATAAGTAAAGAGCCGAGAGAGATCACACATAATGAGGTTC